GCATGAATATTTTTACTGATTCGGCAGCTCAGCTGATTTGAATCAAACATAAACATCGACAAGCTACTTGCCATGATTTCAGCTTCAAACTACTATTTCTATATTTTTAAGACATCGGTGTATTTAAGTGCAACATGCTTGACAAACTGAACCAAAAAACAGTGGCTGTCACACACTACAGTTGAGAGTACAACGATGGAATTTGCAAAAGCTTTTCAGTTTTGTCCCTCCTCTCATCTCTCCTAGTAACAAACTAAAATGCTCATTTTTGTCTGGCTGTACATCACTTGTTATGTGACTTTCATATTTGACAAAATACACATGCAGAACTTGTAGGCTGCCTTTTAATGTTTTGGGGTTTTTTTTCTATCTTGTACAGAGCTGGAATGATTTCAAGTATAATTACTTAAAACAGACACTAATGCATTTCAATTTGCACTTTGTTTTACAGGTTGGTTTGTCTTCAGAAGTGTAATAGTGGAAATTTATACAGCAGCCCTGGTTAGAGACAAATAACGTTAATGACTGTTGGGGTTGCACTGGGCCAACGTATGTAAAAGAACTTCAGTTTAAATAGCACTCCAGCCTTCGTACCATACTATTAATTTGAATTGCTAAAACTCAGTGAGCTTTTTATGAAATAGTCATTAAGCCTATATGAAAAGATTTGCCAAGAGAAGAAACGCTATACACAAAATAAACAAATATGAAAAATTAATAAAAAAAAAGAAAACCACAACAAAAAGGTACAAAAATTTGTATTTATATTATGACAAGATAATGACACAACACAATACTTTGTGCTACAGAACATAGCAAGCCCCATGTACGTGCAGACAAATGAATCTGTACAGTATAATACATCTCACAGACCATGAACCATTCCTTTGGCTCTGAGACCCAATGGCTCTGGCACAGAACCCACTTGCTAACACCTTTAGGTAACAATCTCACCAGTAAACAGCAGAAGGCTCTGTGTCAGTGCTTCACGTGCACCAAAATTTCATCACTTAAAAATCCGTATTGCACAGACCCTTTCAGTGACATAAATCGTGTGCAACTACATTTTACACCTCTCGTGCAAAATAGAAGGAAGGAATTCTGAAACTGGAGTGCCTTCAGTCTGGTTTGCCAATGGGCCAGTCTCTGGCTGGATGTGCCTCTCCAGGAATCCTGTGCTGGCATTAATTGACAATAGTTCAGGTAGAAAGAACAGACAAAGTGACCAAATGGTTTCTGATCTTTCCTGTTTCGTATATCCCCTGCGTTTTAACTCCAGGTAGTTAATGCAACACACTTGGATGTTTCCTTTGCAGCTACCAGTTAACAACAGTGCATTTAGGCAGTCACTTAAGCAAATTGGCTCATTTCATTGCTGGTGAAATTAATTTCAGAGTGTGTTTTGCCCCTTCAGTGTTTGTAGGGAGTACAGCTCTTGAGTATCTAAAGGGATTCAATTCTCCTTCCACTGATTTTGAAAAGTGCAAGTTAGTGGATTAAATATGAACCCTGGTACTGGCTCTTACTACACACAAAACCAATGGCCTCTAGTAGTAAAGAAAATAAATGACAGATTTCTGAGAGAGTAATCTGTTTTGCAGACATTCCTTTAGCAACAGCATCACAAAATAGAAGTGTATAAAATTAATATTCCTTGATTAAAAGCTGTGATGGTGTGGTTCTTTTTAAAAATGCATTTCTTTTCCCCAGGGCTCATCTGCGAGGATGAAAAATGTCACCAATAATTACCAGTCTGCTATAAAGTTGGTAAAATGGTGAAATAATCACTTGTCACGGTAGCAAAGACTGCTGTAAATACCTCCAAGAAAAGCAGAAGTATATCCTGCGGCTAAACACGCCCAAGGGCTCGGAGCAGGAGCAGGTCTGCAGGCAGAGCTCATGCACATGCAACTTCACCTCTTTCTGTTTCCCAGTTCTCTTCTTCTGGCATTTAAGTTCATCCACTGAAATGGGTTATGCAGAGTGTACAGTCAGATGCTCAGAACACTGGCATTTATCGCAGTAATTTATTTGTAGATCAACAGAAGTACCTTTTTAATACAAAATGATGTTAGGCTGCATGTGGTGTACCTGAACCTATAGAATGGTTAGAGTTGGAAGGGACCTTGAAGGTCATCGAGTTCCAACCCCCCTGCCATGGGCAGGGACACCTCCCACTAGATCAGGTTGCTCAAAGCCCCATCCAGCCTGGCCTTGAACACCTCCAGGGGTGGCGCATCCATAACTTCTCTGGACAACCTGTTCCTGTGCCTCACCACCCTCACAGTAAAGAATTACTTCCTAATAGCTGATCTAAATCTATGACATCATTTAAGGTCAGTAAAGGTCTTAATTCTTTAAGTTAGATGCAAGTTGTGTTAGATTTTAATTCTTTTTTTTTTTTTCCCCACCCCAAATCTTACACTAAGAAATTAGTATTTAGGATAGAAACTCATCTATAAACAGCAGGTGAAAAAGTCTGTCCTTCTCATGGATTTTGGGGGACCTTTTTATTTCTGCTTTAACCTGATAAAACTCACCTGAACTGAGTTTGCTTTTTGCACAAGACAGTGCAGGATCCAGGCTCTGGGTAGCAATGTGTTGTAGAGTTTCTACTGGCTAAACCCTACTTTTTAGAAGATAAACCAACCTCAGTGCACCTGGGGGGTCCAAACTGGGCAGAGACAGGATGGGAGTGGAGATGCATCCTCCCAATTGCAGTGGAGAATCTGCAGTAAAAGCTAACAATTTTAGGCTGTTTTTTTTATGCCTTTCTCCTGTGATGGCAGAGTGCACTCACAGAGCTGGAGGAAGAGCTAACCCAGGAGGAACAGCGAGGCGTGTATCCTCATGACACCGATGTGCTGCAAGGGGAAACCCTTCCTTTCTTTTCCCACCAGGAAACAGGCCAAACCTCTGCGTCTCCATAAAAAGAACTTCTTGATGACTTCATCTCTCCAGAGCCTTTTCCACAGAGGAAAAGACCCAGCAACCCTGTAATCTTGTCCCTACTCCTTCTTTTCCCATGGGGTAATTGCAGAGGGGACAGACAAACTTAGCAGTGGGACCTCCTCACCTGCCAAAAGCAGGGTCAGGACAGAAAACGGCAGAGTTGCCAAGGCGGTTGGTAGTATTTAATCTCGCAGCAAGCAGTATGCGTTTTGCAGTCACGTTGTGATTACAGATACAGTTGCGCGCGCGCGCACGCGGCTGCATGCATGCATGCACACACACACGAAGCACACACACCAATGTCCAGCTTAAAAAAAAAAAAAAAAAGAATGAAAACTATTTGCATCCCAAGGTGCTACTGCCACAGGTAGCGCTGCGCCGGCTGCTCAGTGTCAGGGTGAATCGCGTCCCTAAAGGAATGTCAGAGCCCCGACTGTCACCAGGGGTGGGCCAGGGCAGGGCTGGACCACAGCCGCAGCTGCTCCAACCTGACACGTGAAACAGTTGTGCTGTTGCCTTTAACCGGGCTTCTTCTGTCCCAGCTGCAGGAAAGGGGGCTGTGCCTGAAAAGACCACCTTAAACTGGGCCGTACTTGAGGGAGAACGACACAGGCAGTAGGGTGTCATTTTTCTTTACCAGCCTAAGAGCCCCCAGCTGTAATAACTGAAAAAGTAAAAACAAATAAACCCTTTTTATTTCCACTCAAGATTATTCGAGTAATTTTTATTGAAAATATAAGATCTACAAAGCCATGGATACCCAGCGTGGAAGAACTCATTAAGTTAGCACATTCATCTTTAAAAGGAAAATTTCAGGTCGACCTAAGGTACAATAATGTTCAATTTAAAATCTCATTTTTCCTTCTGTAAGTTTCAAATCTCTTTTCATTAGGAGGTTCTGTGCAAGAGCTGCTTGTCATGAAAGGAAACACTTTACAATTCATGAGTGTGTTCATTATATAATAAATGAACAGCAACAATATACTAGCCTTTTTTTTTTTCCTGTTAACAGTCGTGTGTTAAAGTAAACTCTTATTTATTTTTTTTTTCCATGATTTGGAAATTAGTTACATATGCACCAAAGGAGCTAGTAATTTCTGCTGCTTGTCAGCTACACACAATGAGTATATTGCTGTGTGCTTTCCCCAACACTGAGGATTTTAGTAATATGCAAGGTGTATAGAACATAATACCAAAACCTGCATCACAGAAAAGGTTAATTGTTTTCTTATTCAGCTGCCAGAGTTTATAACCTTAGGCCCCTCCCCAGCGCCAAAGTAGGGGTGGCCGTCCATTAGGTTATGTAAATTAAACATAGACGTTTTCCTTGTTGGCAAGTTCCAAGCAGTAAGCGAGAGTGCAAACAAGGATCTGTAAGCTGCCACAAAATGTATTCATATTTCTACTCCGTGTTGTAAGAGCCAAAGGGAGGACACGTATGTCAGATGTCGAAAGAACAACTGAATCTTTGTTTTTGATCATTATGGTCAGTCTGTCATGAGGTCTTGTGTCTGAATGCTAAAAATGGCACCACACTTGGACATCCCATAGCCTTACACAGTACGTTTGTGTTTCCCTAGCCATCGAGCGCTGGTCTCACAGAGACCCTGACTTCATAAGCTAACAAAATATAGATTCGGGTGCTGAAGAATCCAAGGGAGGGCTTATACAAAGACAATTAACCCTCGCACCAAAACCTAATTTCATGATTTTACTTAAAGCCACACTGAAATCAGTTGTGAGAGGGTGAAGATATAAATACACCTCTCTGCTTCATCGGTTAGAAGGTGGACAACTGACCATTCGAACAGAGGGTCTTGAAACAAAGCTTAGTTGTCCTTTAAACAATGAAAAGGAGAGGCATACATAAATGGTCACCAAGGCACAATATGACAAAGGTGAAGAGTCCCTGAGACTCTGGTCTGGGTCTGTACCATTCCCCTCCCTATACAAGTAAATGAGAACATTTAGGAAAATATAATACAAAATCTCTTACAGGAAATATAGACTACACTTGCTAAAATCACTTCCCTAAAAGTGTTTATAGCTTTTTTCTTTTTTTTTTCTGCTTTTTTTTTCTTTTTTTTTTCTTCTTTTTTTTTTTTTAAAAGACCTTCTTGAAACAGATAATGCAAAGACTGGTCCATTTTTTTCTTACCCGGCAAGCCAAGCTCTAATGACTTCACTAAGCAGAAGTTGTATTAAAATACATCTTCATAGTATTGCTACAATTTGGGTAAATATGTTCTGAACAGCTTGATGAGTACTAAATAAACTTTGCTGTTTTACAGCATACATTTTAAATTTTTTGCACTTTTTTAAGAATAGAAAATGCAATTATAGTGTGCAAAAGAAAAAAAAGATTAATTATCTTCTAGCTGAATACTGTAATTTTAAGCCATGCCTTCCATAAAAATGTATTGACATGTGTAAATAGAAGAAAAGAAAAAAAAATACAAGCAAACAGAGATTTCATTTCCTTGCAAGGAAAGATTAACTGTCACAAACTGGATCGCTTGAGTTCTGTATTCTTCAGAGAAAGAAATGAAAAAAACAAGCCGAAAAAGCACTGAAATGCTTCAAATGTCATCCACTCCACGATAACAGGTTAAAATTGCAGTGTTGCTTTCTACTACTCCCGTTAACATGGATAGAATGATTTGCTGCTGGTTGCATATTGAATACAAAAAAGTAAAAGAAAGTCGAGATCATCCCACATGAAGTCATTATTAGAGCTGGCTTTTCCCCCGTTTTGAAGTACAGTAGTGACTTGTAAATACGACCTTTTCTAAAGATCATCTGAGATTTCAAGATTTATCTGCCTGCTTCACCCAAACAACAACTGCTGAAAGAATTTATTCTACGCAGCCCGCTATACAGCGTTCAATATGTTTTGGGTTTTTTTCATGAGAAAATACCACAAAAAGTAGTTTTAGGTTTTCATATCTCCGAATCACTAACACATTGTAGATTCCATTTATTCTTCCATGTTTGAAAATGGTTTCTGCAAAATCAAAATAACTGTCAAACTCCCTTACGCCATGCTTCCAACAGTTTGAATTTAATACTTCTTGAATGGAATGACATAATTTATTTTCTTTAATTTGCAGTATGGCTACATCAAGCTAGCTTTAAGTCACAACTGTACCTAACCACAGTTCTCTGCAGCAAACCCATGATTTACAATATCTAATATTGTGGTTACAGTGCAGGGAACCGTGGGTAAGAAACCTCCATCTCAGAGTACTGTGGTTGGGGTTTCCCGGAAGAGTGGCAGTTGACACCTCTGGAATATTCATATATAAGTGCTTCAGTCAGATGGTCCTGAGTTGAACGAGTAACTCAGGCACTATGAGAGCCTGGCATTCAGTCTGCGGGAATGTGTGTAACCTCCGTCACTCGAACCGCTTTGCAAACTGTAGTGGTCTTCAGCATCACTGGCACTTCCAATACTGTCCATTTCACCTGGAGTAAACTCCATTCCTTCAATGTCTACTTCTAAAGAAAACACAAGAAGGCACGTTTTCAGAAAGGCAGCAGTTGTAGCAAGGAATCATGGGCCAGTACTGCCTGTGTCAATCAATGTTCAGGTGAAACCTGAATCATACTTCATTTTCTGTAATTAAAGGAAAGAACTAGAACAGTAGTTCCTGAGGAAAGGATCATCTTGTCCACCTGAGAATTAAAATCCCTTCTGTCCTCATCCATATAAATATACTGCATGACATCAATACCAAATGCTGTCCCAGAACTGTTCCAACCTGTGCATAGACACTGATCTTAAAAAAACCACCCAACCCTCAGAGGCCACGGTACTGCAGCACCGCTCATGGTTATTCCAACCCATGCAGGTGTCGGCTAGTAGCAACCGTGGTGTAGCCATCTGTCCACCAATAATTGTACCACGACTGACAACTCATCTCCCATAGGCCCTAAAAAAGTCACCCTGTGCAAGCGTTCAGGCACGGGAAAACTTCAAATGAGGAAACCGGAAATGGTGACAAGCAGTTTGAGGAGCTCTGTCTTAAATGAGAACCAAATGTAGAGACCACTTGGTGATCATTACACAGGAAATATTTTGAAATTTCACAATAAATGATGTGGAATTAATTTTTTCACACAGGTGAATTAAGACCAGTAAGGTCTTTTTTTTTCTTTTCAAGAAGAAAATATTGTGCCAGCCTTACCCATAATTACACTAAAACTTCAGAACATTAAATGGTAATTGTTTAAAAAACTGGCAAAAACACATGCGGTATAAATAGCTTTAAAAATACATGCAGTATTAATAGCTTCAAAATTGATTAGAAAAGAGATGTTTTTCAAAGAATGTAAAAAGGATGCAGTAGTTTTTTTATTCCGCAAGTCTCATAATGGAACAATTTTGTCTGGGTTTTGTTGAAAGCTTGGTTTTAGTTCTAAGTAATGTTTTCTTGCTTCCCTACTTCCCTTTTCCTTCCTGCTCCTGCAACTCCCTTTGGGAAGCCCTCGTTCAATTACCTTGTTCAGAGTCAGTGGATATTGTTGATCCCATACTGTCAGTGCGGATACGCTCCATGCCCTGCACGGATAGCTGCTCCAATCTGCGTTTGAGGTAGCGGTGTTCCCGCTGTAATTGTTCTTTAATATTTAGAGCTTTTCGGTCCTGTTCTTCCAATTTCTTAAAGGGAGAGAAAGACAGGAAACCGACAGTTTTTACTCATGTTAAAACATCAGTAACTGAAGATTTTCTCATAAACAGTAATTTGAAAACAATTTTAAATACTTTAATTAATTTTAAATTAAATTTAAATTAAATTTAAACTTTTTTTTTTGGTGTTACCATTCTATAGAGGTCAGTACAATTTAAACAGAGACTTTTGCCACTAGCAGATGTTCCTCAGCTAAGACCAAATTATTGTTGCCTCGGTTATGGGGGATATTTACATCGTTTTGTCAGGCAAAACTCGCATCATCTTTGACAACTAGAGCACAGCTCGGGTTTCAGTCAGAACGTAAAGCCGCTTTAGGTGAAATAAGAGACCTATCACCATAAAGGAACCATTGCGAGCCTCCAGAATCCTCTTCCCTCCTACCGCAGGCCATGGAAATTTTTACCATTTAAAAAGCTTCATTAACAATAAGCAGTATGATTATATATAGTAGGAGGAATTTACAAACAATTCTCTTCATTCTTGCATTTTTTTCCTTGAACTTCTGCAGAGCAAATATGGTAATTCTGTGATAACCTCCTACAAAATCAGTGGTATTAATCCAAAACTTCTCAGCAAACAGCCTGTGAAAGGATCCTTCCACACATCTACCTGAAATCTCCCCTCTACTTGAAGAAAAAAGGTATTAATTTTGGAAATAAAAAGAATACTTCACACCCAGTGTGAAGTGGGTGTGCACTGTTGGTCCAAAAAATGTGCTGCACTGTTGGTCCAAATACAATAACAGAAATAGTATCTTTTAAGATTTGAGCTGAATCCTCTTCCAAATCACTGACAGCCACTTAAAATAATTGACTATATAATTACGGAAGAAAGTGTAATAAATATGATGGGATCAAAAGCCAGAAGGACACATGAATCAAAACACTTTAGATTTTTTTTTTGTTTTAATAATATAACAAATGAAGTAAATTACAGGTTGTAGAAGTAAAATCACTTATAAGACCAAATTTCTCTGTGAGCTGTGTTTACACAACCACTGAGATTTAGGAGCTGTGCAGGGAGTGAATACAGCTGCTGATGATTCCTCCCTATCGTCTTAATGAACCTATGCTTGGTTTTCTGAGGAGAGCGAGGTGGGGCAGTGCACAGCAAACCACAAGCAAAATGATATCAAAGATTTTGCTGTTCCAGTGCAAGCCTGAAAGCAAAAGTATTTATTGTTGAAAAAATAATTGACACTATTGAACTGGGCAGTTTCCTGGCTAAATGAAATCTAACCTCTGCAGCCTCGTGTTAAGCCCCCTCCCAGGCAATACACTACGCAGATGTGCATCATACGTGGATACATGATGTTATAATAAGAAAAGGGGTTGGTACATCCATGCACACAACAAACCAAATGCGCCCAATTGATCAGATTTCCTTTTCCTGCATTTTCCTGGCTGCAATCCCAAACTCCAACAACTATTTTAGGGATGAACTCAGTGATTCATATCCAGGAGACTCAAAACCGTCCAATCTTTCGGGGCAAGTTTCAATATATGGGCGTGTGTGTGTGAAAAGTTCAAAACTAATGACTGTATTAGAAATGGCAGACAGGCATTGGCATGCTCTGGCAGTGCAGCAGGGAGGTAGCTGACCTGAGGAAGAGGAGCAATTACGTGGCAACTCAGTTAGGGGAGGTTCAGTTAAAATCTTTAAAAGAAAGCTAAACTTCAGTTTCAGTTTTCAGAAAAGGAGTACTTGGTACCACGCACGATGGACTTGGAAAGAATCTGCTCCTAGGTTTTGTTATCAGCAGCTGAAATGGTAACTACACGGCTAATCTCTCACACTTGCCACTTGTAAAAACAGTTTTTCAATTTGTATGCATAAGCCCATGATAGGGGGGCAGCGCAAGACAAAAACCACATGCAGTGCCTTTCACGCATGTTAGCCTGAATTATAAACAAGAGGCCAAAATCTCAAATGGTAAAAACAGGGGTTGCCCAGCTGGAGTAAATGTGCTTACAAGAGCTGAAGAAGTAGCTCAGTAAACTTGCTCCCACGAATGGTTATGCTTAAATCAATCTTTAATTCTTCATATGAATTAACAACCATTTCTTCAGCTGCAGTGAATCTTAATACTGTACAACAACAGGCTGTTCTCCAAAATATTCCAAGATTACTGGCAGTGTTCAACCTCTCCTCTGACACTTTTCTTGACCCATTTCCCTATAACACCAAAAAAATTACAGTCCAGGACAGAACAGCAGAAACCCGCTCTTTAACTTTCACATTTGAATACCTGTTTGTCCGACTTTTGCAGATAACCCCGTTTCCCTGAAAACTACAACAGTGAAAATGGCAGTGAATGTGTCTTTGGAGAGGAGGCCTGAGGAATAATTCCCTCTGAATTACTTGTGCAAATGTATAACCTGCACTGCTGCTGGATCACAGGTGAGATTTTGGGTTGGTTTTTGTTTTAAACTTGTTATACCCATGAAACATGCAAGGGGAGTGACAACTAACAGGAGGCTGCATTTCATTTTTGGTTTCTTTTAAATGACTATCAAATGCTTCAGGATCTGGTCAGCAAGACGTGGGAATGGTAATAAGACTTACTAGCAGCTATAATCCCTTTCACTCCATTAGGCTTTTTGATCATGAATGGATCTGCCTTTTTACATTGAAATCAATGCAGTACTACTTTGGTCAGTCCTTAAAAAAGAAATGTATTAATCGAAGAACAGCTTTGATACATATATATTATTTTTTAAATACAATGTAAACCACTAGTAACTAAGCAGAAATCACAAAATCACCATTTTATATATCTGAGACTGCAGGGTAAATTGCAAAACACAAAACCTTGATACTTTGACTGAAATCCTCGCAACTAATGAAGGCCAATATATCTAGAAGATCAGACATATGGATATGTATTTGTGTGAAAATTAGTTTCCTCTCTATGGATACACATTCTGGAAGATTCTGCTTTTTTTTTTAAAAAAAAGAGAAATATGGATGAATGTTTTTACCTTGATATGCATCTTAGCTCTTTTCAACAGACTTAGAGTGGTGTGTCTGGTGCTGTCCGGCCCGAGAGGCACAAGCTGTTTTAGCTGTTCCAAATATAGCCGGAGTTTAGCCCGCCTGAAATGATTAAAAATGAAGAGTGTTGTAGTAAAGTTGCACCCGAACAGCATACCCTATATGCAAACACCATCTGTTTGCAGGATCTCTGTGCAGAACTTGATTCAACGGTGGCTTCCTTTCCCCTCCCTTTGGCAAAGTTTCAGACCAAAAGGTCACTTGAAATGCAGTAACGCTGCTTGGCACATTCAGATAGTAGTTTTGTACCTATATTTCAAAGCAGTTTGCTCAGTCTGGTTAGTCCCATCTTAACGAAGGGGGAGTACGCTCAGAGATCTGAGAAATCCAGGCAAGGCTGCACACTGAATTCGTGGCTGGGTAAGGAATCCAAACTGGGACTTCACCCCAACCCGGTGATTTTTGCAGGCAGAGATGAAGCTGTGGGAGGGAGCAGGGAGGCTGCTGACCCCGATTCCTCTCTCCCCCATCAGCCCTGCCTGATGCAGTTCCGACTACACAAGGGAAGGGCATCCATGCACCTCTGCACAGCTCGGAGCTGCTTCCAGCCAGGGTTTATTAAGAGGAAGGTCCTGATCCCCCTTTTGCTCCCATCTACTGACCTACAGTACCCCGAGAAGGAGACATTCCTCCTCTCACCATACAACCAGGACAACCTTTATTATAAACGCACAAGAGAAAATACTTCCAGCCATATTGGGTCCTGCTTTCTCCATTACTCCTTTGCAAGAATCACTACTGCTGCTCTCAACAATCTCTCCTGAACTAATGACATTAAATCCATCAATAAAAAGAGAATAAACAAAGTGGTATTTCTACAGATACTTTGCTTCCAAACTTTGTCCGTCTCTTGAGAAAGAAGCTGCCAATACAATAGTCCACGAAACAGTTGCTTCAGCTATCCAAAACAAGGCAGTAGCAAACCAACGAACAGTGCGTGACTGTGTTTCTACAGTTAAATCCGAAATAAAATCTATCCTGGTTTTAATGCACAATTCTTGAATAGGAATCTACACAAAATCACCTTTCAGTCTTGCGAAGAGATAGAAATAGATGCGGAAGCGCTTACATGAGCGACATCTCTACTGTCTTCCCTTCTGCCAACCCATTACACATTGAACAAAGCCATGACCTGGAGCATGCCGACATCCCCCACAAAGCAGCAGTAGTAAGTGAAGCGGGTCACAAGTGTGAGATGAATAATCATCTTTTTTCAAATCTGCTCAATGCTGCATGAAGAAAACAAACTTTGCAGGAAATTTAATGCTTCTGCTCAAGAATGAACTGTCTTTTGAAGAACCAGAATTCAGCATCAGTGTTTGAAATGCAGCTGAAGTGGATTTAATATACACCAAATCACAAATTGCACATGTGTAATTGGAATGATTATAGTGTAATGTGAAAACAACCTGAGAATTAATGGAGAAAAAACCCAAAGCAAAATAAAATCTAATTAAAATACAGTACTGTAATGACTACACAGTCACATGTTTAGTTCTGGCTGCCTATAAATCAGCAATGTATTGGGTACAAATTCAAAGAGCATTTCTGTAAAATTGTTAATTCTTTCTTCAAACCACTTAGGAAAAAAAGAATACTGGTGAAAATGTGATTCTCAAGAGAAAACTGAGGACACATTCTTTGTTTAGGCTTGGGGTTTGTTTTTAAATACAAGGGCCCAAACATAACCAGCTATATGCTTTTATTTAAACAACAGCAACAAAGACTGGGGTGAATATTCACAAAAATAGCCCCATCTGATCACAGAGCACCTTGGAGGCTGCACATTTAAACCGGAATCCAATTTAAATAGATCCCAAAGGTGAAATACCTTTGGAATTAGGGACTATCGATATTTATACAAAAAATCCTAATCAGGTACATTTTTATGTTCATGTCTGTAATCTCTAACAACTATCTGGCTAGTTCTGTGTTTTAAATAAAAAAACCCACCCTTGCTTCAGGGACTAAATTAAATTAATTTTTTGTGTGTTTTAGATGGCCTCTAAACAGACAAGCAATCATCTGCGTCACTCAGCACAACTTGGATGCAACTGTATTTGGACAGCTGACGATAGTGAGGACTGAAGATAAAGGAGGATGTGGCAAGGGAGAGGACAAGAATAGTATCCAAGTAGTAAATAGAGAGTTAAATACATTGAAATGTAACGATCAATATACTTGCAGTAATTAAAAGTCTGATAAGGAATATACAGAACTGTTGATCTGAGATCTACTTAATATTAATCCTGGAAAACATTAATGAGACCAGACTACATACTCAACTTATCTGCCTCTATTACATTCTAAAGAAAGTCTGCTTACCACAGGGAGAAAATAAGGGTTTAGTGCACTTCCTTACCATCAGCTGGGGAATTAACAGAAATGTTACCAAGATCCAGTGGGCATGGCTGTGTGTCTTTTTAAAGCACTAATTCTTTTATGTTACCTGGCAACCAGGTAATGCAGGACTTCACAGAAGTACCACAAAGAACATGAGTGAAGCTAAGAAGAATATTTTAACTGATGTACAAGAAGAATTAGAAAGAGCTAAATATTTAAAAAGTTGCTTTAAGGCATTCTCAGCACTAACAGTTGATAGCACTAAATGTAATAAACACACTTGCTAAAAGACCTCCTCTAACGTCACCCTTTTTTTTTAAAGGGACTTTTTCTTTCATTTATTTACTCAGCACCTATGAAACCATTAAAGATTTTAAAGCATAAGCACGCAGATCTTTACATAAATACAGGCGTGTTGATGTGGCTAATTCATGTATCACAACAGCATAATCGATGGCATAGATTGTGAACGTAAAAAAAAAAAAAAGAAAACCAGTACACTGCAATTGCAGTGGTACTGGAGTAAATATCCCCACATTCTTCATTTTGCACATCTTAAAAAAACTGTAAGAATGTAAGAAAACATTTCAGGCATGTTATGTTAACAGATCACACCAGCAGGAACAGGGGACTCAAACTTCACAGCAGATAAGTTGTCGCGTACAGACTCTGCCAGCACTAATTTCTCTCTTTTTCTGCGGGGACCTGACAGCTTTCGCTTTTCCTCGGCTGACTGTGACCGCCGGAGGAGGGAAAGGCACTCACAGAGGTAATCACAGCCTGAGCCGCTTTGTGTTTTGCAGCTCATGCCTTAAATTCCACCTAGAAAATAGGCAAAAAAAGCAGCCTGGTCTCAGAGCAACAGGGTAACGATCTCTGTGCATGAAGTGTAGTTGAAGTCGGGTAATTAAGCTCTGCTCCAGCTTTGAAACCCAACCGTTACACCTTCGCCCACACAAAGCATGGTGTCAGGCCAGGACACCGCTGCCTACAGAAGCGGGCACTTTTCTCGCCTCATGTGGATGCACAGAAATATCCCCCTCGTCACTGCTACTGAATTTATCAGGGAAGGTAAGGATCTGGAAAAAGCCATCCAAAATCTGAATCCTCAAACCTGCAGCTCTCCATTTTGGGTACGGCCCCACGCATGGAGAGAGGCGATGGGTGACCTGTCTCTGATTTACCATATTCTCCTTTATGCCAGAAAATAAAGGGGTTTCAGATGTTCGAGACTTCAGTATTTCCCCATAAGTGAGCTCACAACACAGTCCTATGAATCTACATTATAGCTCTTGTAAAGCTTAATAGAAATTAATTACTAAGCCCACAGACCTGATCAGTGTTCCACAGCAGCAGCCACGTCCAGGAGCAGTCGGGTGGTTCACCACGTTCACAAAGGAGAATGTAACTTGTTGACAACTAACATAACAGGTACCAGCTGGAATTCCCTTGAACTGGTTCTGAATCCATGAAAGCTGTGATGGGCGATACTGGCAGGTATTTCAGAACCAGTAACAAAACGAACCCTGAAGCTCCACGGCTTGGAGTGACAAAGCAGCAACACAGTGTTGTTAGGAATTTCCCCATCATATGAGGACCAGAAGTTCATCTGAAGACCACTCACTGACTCTAGTCCTCAGAGACTCCAGTTTGCTCCAGTGCTTGTCTTTGAAAAGGCAGGAGCAACACTGGCCAGAGAAGTGTTCACCACTTCTCAAAAACAGGCTCCCATGTAAAAGTAAATTAAGATCTTTGACTCTAAACAATTTCAAAATTGTGCTAAATGAGTCTACCAGATAATGGTCAATAAGCTTCCTCATATGTATGAAATCCCAGATGCAAATCCATTTTAGCACACCAAGAAATGGAATACTAAGATGCAGAGGGGGAAAAAATAAAAGAAACAAAAAAGCCTATTGTTCACACTGGATAATCTTCATTCCAAGGAAACTGCAACAATTCCAAGAAATTCCTACAACTACTTGATGGGTGGGTGCGATGGGAGAAAAATACATCTCAGTAGGGCCAAATAATATAATAAGAGGCAATGATTGTGAATCGGGAGGTTCCAGATGGATATTAGGAAACTAATTTTTTACTAGGGGTAGAGCGGTGGTGCACTATCAGGATAGGTTAGCAGAAAGGCTGTAGGAGCGCCATTCTTTGGAGGTTTTTCAAGATGTACCCAGACAAAGCCATCCCCTTTCAGAGGTCCCTCCAATCAACATTTCTATAAGCATTTACATCAGAGATTGTTTGTAAAGGAGTAGCATTTGACTTACAAGATTGCTCCCATTCACGTAACAGCAAAAAAACCTGCCCAGTTGAGCAACTTAAACCTGTGCCAGTCTGGTCAATACAGTGTTGGCACGTTTGTAGAGTGACCTGATCCCCCTGCAGTCTTTCCACAGGGGCTCTCCGGAGTTTTTTTAGGTCCAGCACAGCAGATAGAAATGGCCTGCAGCTAGTCAGACAGCAGATTCAGTTCAGGCACCAGTTGCAGAGTTTTTTGATAGCAGCGAAGGTGTGTTTCCTACACCGTGCAAGTATAAATCTATAAGACCTTATTTGTGGGAGGGAACACCATCCATTGTTTCAGCCACTGATCTGCACAAAGCTGGCTGGAAAGGTAAAGCCTCCCTTTGGCAAGTGCAGTGTCCAAAACAAGCTGCTTAGCCCTCAATGTGGCATGCCTTACC